TTTTTTTTTTTTTTTTTTTTTTTTTTTTAGCCCAGCCAGGTGAGACAAACCTGCAAAGATTGAATCAATTTCAGCTCAGGCTCTGTCTGTCCTTAGCTACAATGTCTGGGCTAGCTCTCATTCACAGGTCTCCATTCTAAGCCCTAGAACTACAAACTAGTATGAAAATACTTTAAATATTGGTGTAGCATTTTTTTGTTCTCATGTGAAAGTGTGCCTTATTTCTTTCTGGAAGGTAATGGATTTTTCTAACAGTAGACTTAATCTTCTAGATGATGATTCTGGAGCTTTCAGGAGAAATACATTTCTTATCTGCTAAGAGAAATCTTACATTGAACACTTTCAAAGTGCCTAAGTCCATCTGGGGTTGACTTGCTTAGTGATCTAATTACAATTGCCTCTCTCTTCTCAAAAGAAGACAAAGACAGCTAATAAATAGTAAGATAAGCTGCTCAAGCTCCATTGCTCTGCTTACTCTACATCTTCGGGAGTCATGGATCTAGCTCTTGACTCTTCAATTAATCCATCCATTTAGCTCTGTTTCACTTTCTTCTGGCCTACACTTTTTTTTAACAGGCCTTCTGACTCCTAAAATGGCTTCACAAACCACATTTGTCATCCTGTGTTAAATCCTTACAGGCACCATTGACCTCCATTTCTATCACTAGAATAACTATTGAATATGAGTTGCCAATACTGTTTGAAATCTCATTCCTTATTGCTTGTGCTTATAATTAATTGTGATTAGTCTTAAAAATGGTCTTAAATCCATTCAGCTTCATGGTAATGTGAAACTTCTAATGACTAGCAAGCTCTACAAATAACTGAATCTTTTTTCTTTGATTGCTAGTGGCAGGGGGGAGGAGAATATCTGCCTTTTGGGTTCAAATAGTTTATCTTGCTTTAAGGTAAATTTGGTTGTGGGAGACTTAATGTTCATTCCTAATATCTGGGTAAAGACTTAATTTCAAAACAAAAAAATCACTAGTTTTCAAAACAAAATATTTCTTATTGCAGCATATGTTAGCCAAAAAGCTGGAAACTAACATAAAGCGGAATAATTTTGGCCACTGATTTAATTGTTTGAAAGGCCCATAAATGGTACCAAGAAGCATGTATGCTACTCAATTTTTATCTGGGTGTGTGTAAGCATTTCTTTCATGGTAGAATTAACCAGAAAATATGGTTAGACTAGACTTACCCATCCTTTTAATAATCTCTGTGTAATATAAATAGTAGGCCCCTGCAAAGTGGCTAGTATTCGCTTCAGATTTGGCCAATTTGAGGGACAGGGATTCAGTTCAATGATTTGAATTGCTGTCCCAAATCGAGTTTGGCCACCGCCGAATCAGCTGAATCTCTGAATCAAACAGATCCCAGTCCCATCAAGGCTGCCTGGCCCCAGCATCCCAGAACTTTTTTGTTTAAAGCCTCGCACTCACCAGCTTCTGCCAGGCAGGGGGGCAATCTGTCACGAGCCCCCAGAAGCCCTAATTGCCACTGAAGCAGCCAGTGAGTGACAGCATTTTGTTTTGTTTTTTTTAAAAAGTGCCAGGATGCTGGGGCTGGGTGGGGCAGCCATTGACAGGGCTGGGGGACCAGGCAGGGGGTGGGGCCTGGCAGGGGACCCACCATGATCCCTTCCTGCCCACCCCTACTTGCTAGTATGGAGTTCAGGTCCAGCTCCCTGCAGTGGTGAGTAGAGACTGGCCGAATCTCCAAATCTTTAAATAGATTCAAAGCCTCCAAATCAATTCAGACCTCCTTTATTGGTTTCCTGATCTGATTTTTTTTTTTTCTCCTCTGAATCAAATCGGCAACCAAAGTTTTGCACAGCCCTAACAAATAGAACTATTTTCAAGGTCTATTCTGAATGCTTTATGTATTGGTTTAAATAAGGCTGCAAAAGACGGGCAACTTCATGGTTCCATAGAATGAGGGGATGCCTGTGGACAAGCCCACATACAAATGCACCTGTTAGCAAAAACATTCCTTTGACCTTTTCATGCAAACCCTGCCCCACTTATAAGAGCTGGGCTAGTCGGAGCATAAAAAAGTTAACATCAATAAACATCCTATTGGTGCCATTCCAACTGCCAAAACTCCCTAATGACTTCTAGGGCCAGTTGCACCCTATGCAGTAATGTCTATAATGATTTCAAGCAGTTTTCTACTTTCCCTTGACAGCTTAAAGTTCTTCAACAGCAGTTGCGGGCTTTGACCAAAACATCTTTCCCCAAACCCAGGAAGAGAAAAGGAATCTCTAAGAAAGAAAAGAGAGGAAGCAAGGAAAAATCTAAAATGAAAAATGTGACTCAGAAAAAAAAGAAGCTAAAGCACACAAAAAAACCAAAGAAAAAATTGGCGTTAAACCTGTAAGTGTGTAGGATTGTGTGGGTGTCCTAAATTATTTTAAATTGCTGTCAATGTACTAACCCTTTTTTTTCCCTGTCTCTCTCTCAGCCAATCAAAGAGAACCAAGCAGCAAGTTTTATTGGCACATAAGTCAGAAGATGAGGATAGTGCCAAGCCTATGAATTATGATGAAAAAAGACAGTTGAGTTTGGACATAAATAAACTCCCTGGAGATAAACTTGGAAGAGTAGTGCATATAATACAGTCAAGAGAGCCTTCACTGAGAAACTCTAACCCTGATGAGATAGAAATAGACTTTGAAACTTTAAAAGCATCAACACTTAGAGAACTAGAGAAATATGTGGTGGCTTGCTTAAGGAAAAAAACAAGAAAACAACATGGTATGTATGTACCATGAGTAAGCTACATAATCAATCTGTGATTGGCCAGAACTTACAGGTTTGGATGTACATTTTAACTGCTCTTTCTTCATATACAGCTAAGAAACCAGTGAAGTCAAAAGAAGAACTTAATTTTGAGAAAAAAAGAGAGTTAGAAAAGAGACTTCTGGATGTTAATGGGCAACTAAACCCCAAGAAGCAAAACGCCAAACGTAATGGGCTCTTTTACTGTAGTGCTTTCCAAAAGCAAGGGGAGGGAGTGTGGGGCAGGGGTGGCTTTGAAATGGGATTTCCTCTTATCGGGTTTGTGCTCCATGATGTAACTGATGAGACTTTTTTTTTTCTTTCTGGAAACGCAAGAAATTCCTAGCCACTAGATTATACTCGCTTAAGAGTTAGCACAGTGTTTTCTGTACTGGGTCAAATAAAACACAGCTGCTGTTTGATCTATCCTTCTTTCCTAGATTTTTAAGAAATCAAAGAAAATAACTTATGCCCTCCTGGCTTTAGCATCTCTAATCATATGGGGTGTCAGCAAGACTGGCTATACTGCATATAGCCTGGCATCCTGTGTCTGTTTGACAATGGCCAATAATAGATGCTTCAGAAGTTCTTCTGTGCAGTACAGAAATTAAAATTTAATCTCTCTCCCTTTTGTTTCGGATATCTTCTTTCTGATGGCAAAGATGCAGCCAAAGACCTTCAAAGTGTCTGTATGTGCTATTTTGAAAATATCCACTAGGGTCTTCAGAGGGTACCCAGGGTGGAGTAGAGTCCAGTGTGACTCCTATGGGAGTTCGGGAGACCCTCTTTCTGTCCAATTTGTAGTTGTATTTCTGTTGTTAAGTCTAAAACTAAGCACACTGGTAAGGAGCCACACCTGGGTAGAGGCCAATTTTAATACCAGTCCCTCCAGCACTCGTTGGAATAAGCCTTCACTTAATTCTTTGAAGGAATCCATGTCAGTTGTGAAGTATACAATGAAATGCATTAACACCTGCTGTGTTGGTGTGCCACATTGACTTCGAATAAACACTTCAAGGCATGTGTTCAGAAACTGACACTACTTCATTTTTCCTTTTCTTTGACTCACAGGCGTGATTCCAAAGGCTTCTGGTAACTCCAGCTTTCTTAAGTCATGCTCCCATAACTGAATAATCAGCTTTTGCTGCTGTCCCAATGATGGCATATTTCCTCTTATGGTAGCAAAGGTATTCTATATCTTTTCCCATCTTTAGTTATCCTTGCAGTGTCAGTTCAAAAGTTCTGGTACCCTGTGCATTGTTGCAGAAGTCTGTCTTGCCTTGTAGGCCTGATAGCAAGCCTCTAAACTTAGAGGTCCAAGTGCAGCCAAAACAGTTGCCTATTTGAGTACCAAACCTTTGGAACCAGGTAGCTGAACTGATGGGGCCCCTCCCCAAAACACACTTGTATATTCAAGCTATATATGCTATACAAGCTAATAGAACTTGTTTAAATAGAATTAGCTTGGCAGGCAGATCTTGCTTGGTTCTTGAGTTCAATATACATCTAAATATATACTAAAGCTTGAATGAGCTTTTCATTCGAGCTTAGGTTAAAGCACCCCTGCCACCATTTTTTCAGTGCAGGAATGCTGATGCATAAGATGATCCCGATGCTTTAATTAGAGCGGCTTTTGGAGCTGCTCCAATTTAAAGCCCCCCTCTCTCCCTGGAGCATGTGTATAAATGCCCCTAGTGTCCAGTTTTGGGCCCTACACTTTGAGAAGGATGTGAACAAATTGGAAAGAGTCTCAGTGCAGAGCAACAAAAATGATTACAGGCCTGGGATGCATGGCTTATGAGGACAGACTGAAAGGGTTAAGGTTATTTAGTCTGTTGAAAAGAAGACTGGGGCGAGTAGGGATTTTATAACAGTGTGATTTTTATAGAGTAAAGCCTGTGGCTGTATGGGATAGGACTAAGACCAACAGCTTCAAGTTTCAGCAGAGGAAACTTGGGTTAGAGATTAGGAGGAACTTTCTGACCATGAGGGTGGTAAAGCATTGGAATAGGCTGCCTAGAGACTAGCCATTCCTGGAAAATTTTTCCAGGTTGAACAGACACTTGAATGGGGTGGTATAGTCAGGGAAGATCCTGGCTTGAGCAGAGGGCTGAACTAGTTAATCTTGTGAGGTCTCTTCCAGCCATACTTTCCTATGGTCTAGGGTTGCTCCTAACGGACTCCCCTTCTCAATAAGGGTATATCTGTTTATATCAATATACAGACTTCTTTTCGCAAATCTGACACTAGACAGAGAACACAGCATACAATGGAACATTATGCAAAATTTGCCCTCAAAACTATCAGTATTGTGTAAGCAGATGCCACAATAGTAAATGCTGCACTTTAGCTGCTAAAGTGGAGACTTCTGATGAGAGAGATTGCTGCTATTCAAGCTAATAGAACTTGTTTAAATAGAATTAGCTTGGCAGGCAGATCTTGCTTGGTTCTCGAGTTCAATACACATCTAAAATATCTTTGATACTGTAAGGAAAGACTACATACAATGGGTGGATGCAGTTTAAAAGAATCATTAGAGCATAGATTTTTGAAAGAAGAATAACCAAAGAGTATATTTACTACTAGAAGTACTTCTAACTTACAGGGAACAGAAGAATCCTCACAGCATTTCACTTGAAAGCAATGCTTCTCTTCAAAAAAGCATTTGAGACAGTGGGAGGGCTATTTAACTTGAACAACAATTAAAGGTAATTCCATAGCTACTTCCCGGCAAATCTTCAGGTAATGCACTAGACCCATGCAAGTCTGAAAATTACTGACATGCAGAGGAAAAAACAAAGTTCTCAAACTAAAACAACCAAATGTAAAGTGGGTAGATGGAGTACTTGGTGGCATTAATTTGTGTCTTGATGTACTTTTCTAGCCAGAAACCAGTGCTATTAAAGCTGGCATGGCAATTCCTATGCTCCTAAATAGTGAACTGTTGTTGGTTTAATCTAGTACCAATACCAAATTGCTCTTGGTAATCTCAACCCCCGCCCCCAAGAATCCTGATTCTAGTACTACAAATACCAAAACTCCCAAGTGTCTATACACGTGTCCCAGGGTGGGATGAGGGTGTGTTTTAATTAGACAGCCACTTTAAAACATTGTGTCACATGTATTTAGCATCCTGTGTACCAAAATGGGCATGGGGGTGCTTTAACTGAAGCTCATTTGAGTTCAACTAAAATGCTAATTAGAACACTCCAGTTGACTTGATTAATCCTCAATTCTAATTGGAATGCATTGGTGCATGTGTATAGGCATAGATCTTTGCTTGAAGTTTGTTGTTCTAGAATTGTATCTGTTCTAAAGAGTAAGGCCTTTCCTCTATAATTTGCCAGTCTCTATTCTCTGCAATATGAGGGGTTTTTTTCTTTTTTCATGTTTAGAAGGAGGCAAAACAATGGCCAGAACCTGGAAAAGATGGTTAGTCCCATGGAGCACAAACTTAGGTGTATGGCTTTCTATTTCTGGTTTATGTAGTCATAAGACTTTTTACTACATGTTCTAACTCCCCCCTCTGTTCTTGCAGCTGAAAACAACGCTCTGCCAAACATGGGTGGCCCAAGCCGACTAAGCGAGAGCAGCAGCAGCAGCTCCTCTGACTCTGGCAGCAGCAGTAGTAGCAGCAGTGATTCTAGCTCCTCATCAGACAGCAGTGACTCGGAGTCAGGTCAGATCACCTCACTACATAGCTGTACAGATAGCTCACCTATCGTGTGAGATTCTGGGCTTGTTTTAGATTTTTACCAAGAAGCTGGCCACCACTAAGCCTACTTGGTTGCTTTTTGTTTTGGGCAGTGCTATAAAACTGAAATACTAGGCCTTTTCCCTTAACTTTTTTTCTTTCTTTCTCTCTACTTTTTCAAGAGTACTTAAAAAAAAAAAAAAAAAAAAAAAAAAAAAAAAAAAAAAA